GTTTTATTTTGAGATGGCTTTGAATGGCCGTGAGAGCTGACAAAGTGCCCGTCACCCATGCGAAGATCTGAGTGGGAGAGGGGAACTCTCGCGCCTGTACTCTCTGCATCTCAACACCACTTCCTCCCTCCCAATCACCACCTATGAAAAGGTCTCTGCTGGAATTTGACTATTAATGTTTCCAATTCTCTTGACCATCAGTTACAAGTTAATTGGAAGATATTGCATTGTTATATTTTAAATAAACGGGTACAAATCCCACGAAAACTCCTCATTTGGAAAAATTTTACATGGGTTAAAAAATTTATCTCTTGCATATATGAGAGTTTTTCTGCATACATACCATTTTGACCAGAAAATCCAATAATGATACCAACATTTCCAAACATCTCCTTTCAAAATGCTCTCTTCCCATCAGGACTATTTTGCAAAAAGCAGTTATTTCTCACTTATTGTAAGCATCAACTTTACTTTGAAGTGATAGATTGCGTGTATTTTTTATATGTATCTGCTATATAGAAATAACTAGTAGCCATTTCCATCACTACAAAGGTCACCAAATCTGGGAAACTTGTCTTTTTCCAAAAGAAAAACTTTGTTTCACAATTCTTTTAATTACTGTTATGAGATAACCAACAAAATTCGATGTAGTACAATACTCTCTAGGTCATTCCCTCTCCCTTTCATCACAAATTATATTATTTAAAGCCCCGTTTCAATAAAATCAATCACAACAATGATATCCTATAACATGTGATCTGCAACATCATGAGAGACTGAAGACAAAAGAAAGGACGAGGACTTTCTCATTGCAGACTGCCAACCTGCCTCTTAGTCAACATTGGGGTCATACCCAATATATCACCCACATCACAGGTGAAGGCTATTTATAAAGATTAGAAAAGCTTAATTTCTGTCTCACACTTTTAGATAAAAATAAACAGAAAGTTCTAACATTGTCTTCCTATACCCCAAATGGATCATCTTGCATCTTTAGTCCTCAGCCCTCCAAAACATCCACTTTGGCACCATCCCCAAGGGCAGCCTCTCCTGGGGACCTCATGCTCCAAAACTGCTTCTCACTCCATCCTTTCCCTCCATCCTACATGAAATTCTCTACATCAGTAGTAGTGTCAAGTGCTGACAAAGAAGTCTCAGCAAAATACAGCAAAACCTCAGGGGTTAAGTATTAATGACTTCATTTTGAATATTCACTTTTCAAGCTGTGCCTTCCTCCCCAAGTACTTGATTCCTGCTCTCTCCAGATGCATTTAACCCTGAGCACATGTTATACTTCAGTGAAACTGCCTTTATTTTTGTAGTCTGCCCCTTTAGCGGTCTCCCCAACCTTCCACATTCTCATATCTGCTCCAAAAATTTCTCTGTGTTAAAAATTCTCTCAACTTTTGGGAGAGATTTTCCCAATATATGGGATTTCTTCATGTTGCTCCTCAGAAGGAGGTCTCCTTGACTTGCAAAAAGTCCTAGAATCAGCTCCTTAGGGCAACTCTCTTTTCTTTTCCTTATTTCCTAGGAAGACAAATAACCTGGCTTCTGCTGCCTGAGTCCATCTTGAGCTCACACTGCCTGAATCTCATTTTGTAAACCGTAGCATAAAACCTTGTGCACAGAGCAGGGTAAGGCCTTTTCCACTCACTCTGGTGTCCTTCCTTAAGGGAAAATTATTTTGCACAGTTAACATTTTAAAAAAAAGCTATCCTCTTAAAAACTTTGAAAACTTTAAGAAAAACCCATTTTTCTTAAAAGAACTTGGGTTAAGGGTACGTTGCGCTTTTTTAAAATCAATTCGTGGGATGTCTAAGAAGTAATATCACAGGGAATCCAGGAATTATTCTAAAATGCAGGCTACATCCAATCAATCAAATATAAATGAACAAAATAAGTAATTCAAATATTAAAGTGTACGCTCTCCTCAACAACCCAGAAGTGCAGAAAGGGTGTAAGCCCTCCCTCTCGGGGGAGTCACACTTGCCTAAACTGCCCTCTGCCTATAAGCTCTTCCCTGGACAGCCTCATGGCCCCCTTGCTTGCTCACTTCTGCCCAGTCTCTGCTCACGTGTCACCTCTTCAAAACAGCCTCCCTGACTCCTCCTCCTCCATCACTCTTCATCCCTTTACCCCGCTTTTCTCTTCTTCAGGGCACTGACTACTCTGGCATTGTTTGTGTGTTTCCTGTCTGCCCCACCAGAATGTGGCTCCATGAGGGCGGGGACATCGTTTTGTTCACTGCAATGTCCTCATCTCTTAGAACGGTGCTGGCCTGACACAGCATAGGCTCTTAGTAAACGTTTGTTGAAAGGGTACCTGAATGTCCACTAAGGAGAAGTTCCAGGAGAGCTACAGGAGAAATGCAGGCTTCCTTTTACATGACAACAGGATGCTTACGTAGAAAATCTAGTTCGGGGAGGGGAAAAGAGCCAGGAGTGTTGGTGGCTTCTCGGACCCCTCTCTCCAGGTGGGAGGAAGCTGAGGGAGAACTGGTGAAACAAGAGGCAAATGTGCCTGTGAAGACTCTGACACTACACTCAGGGAGGACCAGGTGCCCCTGCCTCCCTCCCAGCCTGAGGGGTGAAAAGTTGGAGGGAGAGGAAAGAGGGAAGAGGAGCTGGGCTTGGTGTGATTCTTCTAGGAGCCTCCATCCACCCAACCAGTGGGTGTGGTCTGACTATGTGACCGCTGGGACTCTGGGGCCAACTGGGCTGAAGTCAGGGCCACACACTCTCCCCCAAACTCAGCTGGAGGCAGACAGCCCTTTTAGGGCTCGACCCTCCACACCATACCTTGAGCAGGCTCTGGATGTCAAAAGGCCCCTACCAGCAGGGTTTCCTCTTGTCTCAGCAGAGAAAAGCTAGTGATGGAAAGGACTGATGAACAGTGGCTAATGCTGCCCAACTCTTCCTCCAAAAGAAATTTGTACCGACGGTCGCGAAAACTTCCTCTCCCATCCTTAGCTGACGTCAGAAATAATTGGCTTGGCAGTATGAAAGCTGTGTCAATCACCTCATTTACCTGCACAGCTTTCCAGTGGAGCCCAATTATTGTGTAGCCCTGGAGCGATTACGTATACCATTAAATAGGCGAGATTGACTCGGTCGCGTGTTTTAACACAACACGGAAGCTGTGTCACTGTTCTCAGTCCTCATAGCTAAGTCTTCATGAGCCAAGCAGTTGTCTCACAAGCACAAAATTAAAATCATAAATAAATAAATGTAAAAGGACCACGAGCGACAGGTGCGGGGAGTACAGGTGAAAGCCTCTGGCAGCCTTCAGGATCACCCAGCCGCTATCCTTCCAACAAAGCTACTAAACACTTACCATGCGTTTAATAACTTTACACATCAATCTTTACAACTCAATCTTCATCACAACCCTAACAGGTAAGTAGTATTAATATTACTTACTTAGTATCCATTTTACACATCAGGAAATGGAAACTTAGGTAACTTGCCAGAAGTCACATGGATAGAAAACGGCAGAGCAAGGATCTGAATCAAGAAGCCATATGTTTAAGGTAAAGACATTACAAATGTTGATCACTGCCTGGAAGTACACCTACCAAAGTGGAATTGCACTTTCCAACACTATTGAAAGGGAACTCACTCTAAAGAGCTCCCAGTGGGGAGGTGTGAATGGGAAGGAAATCGATTGCACTCATGCAGAATTCAGTGCATCTGACAGTTCTGAGGTGCTTTTCTTACTGCGTGCCAGGTGGATCCCGCAGTGAGCTCCGATTTCTCCAGAAGGACCACATCTTTCATCCCTGCTTTGGCCAGGTGGTAAGCCAGACTCACACCAACGCAGCCACCTCCAATTATCACTGTTTCTGCTCTGTCTTTCCATCTTGTTTCTGCAGATAAGGGTGGGTTTTCCTCTCTGGAAGGCAATTTTTCAAAAGATGGTAGCTTTACTAGGCTATAGCAGCTATAGTTTTTTTCTGACTAATGTGCTTCTCTTTACTTGTTTCTCTCACGCTTAACACCTAGTGTCTGTGGGATGTGCAAGGTGCTGATTTAATCATTGGGGCTTCTAAACCCTGACTTATGCAAGCTGGTCCGGGGAGGGAGGAGGAGGAGGAGGCTTCTGAGCCCCATTCCATGTAGTTCTGGTCCATTGTAGATTACTAATATAGCCAAAAAATTGAATAGGTGACTTCTTTTTTTCAAAGAATCTAGAGAATACTTTTTCTCAGTCTATTTAAAGAACACACTCAGAATCCTTTTATTCCATGAAAAACCATAATCATCCTGAAGTTTAGTATCTAGACATCTTGAATCACCTCCTCCCTCCAATGTTTTCCAGGCTGAAGAGAGCCAGATGGAGTAAACTTTTCTTCCTCAACTAACTTCCTCTCACCGTGTAGATGCTTCTCTTACTATAATTATTGCTCAGTGGTTTAATATATTTACTTGCATGACTGTCTTCCTAGCTGGATCGTGAGCTTCTCCAAGACATATTATAAAGAGCAATGTGTAAGAAGCCAAAGAAGAACACACATACACCTCTTCGCCTACACAGAGGCTATCTCTGGATAGACACAGAAGACACTAGTAGCAGTTGAAGGGAAAGGATTGGGGTAGGAGAGACTGCACCGGGAACCCTTTGATACCGGTTCACGTTGTACGGTTGTGCATGGAAAAGAAAACATAGGTCAATCACGAAGAAATCCGAATGCCCGTTTCTGGGAGGCCGAAGCGCCCCTAACCCCGGAGACCCTCAGGCCCTCTCTCGCAGCCCCGCAGCCGCAGGCCGGGCCCCACTCACCCCTGGCGGCGGCCGGCGGAGCGCGGGCGGCCGGGGAGGCCCCGC